GTTACGTCTGTTTTAACTGTATTGTCTAATTAATTGTATTGTTCAAGCAGCAAGAAGATGGATTTACTTCTCAAAATATCACTTCAAATAACTCTGAACACTAGACAAACTAAGCTAGTTTTATTTCCAGTGGTTTTATTGGTACCGGTTCTGGAGAAGATATGGGCTCCTATCAGTCTTTCTTGCACTTCTGGAGTTCACAACTTTATTCTTCTATGAGCTAATAAGATGTGAGCTGGTACAACAACGCTTACCTCAGGTGGAATACTTCTAGGATCCCTGGCATGTGTTTCCCTGAATCTTTCAGGAACTTAATCACTTCTGAGACCTGTACTTCTCCATCAGATTTGATGAAAATCAGCAGCAGGTGCCAAAATTTTAAGAGGACACATGCGGGTGTACGCAAAGAATTGCACAAGCTTTACATCATTAAGAAATCACAATACAAACAAATTGTTCCACTCCCAACTGGTGATTTTTCAGTGATGTTTTAACGCTCATCAACTGCCTGCATTTCATAAGGCATGTCATGCCACAGGTCTGCTTGACTGCTGCCATGCAGAATATATAATGCTCTGCCTGCCTTTCCCTAAACATGTGTATCTCTCCTACCCTGCCTCCATTTTTCCTGACGTTTACTGCGACTTAATCAGTGAGCCTACTACCTCTGTCAAATTTAGCCAGTAATAGCTGAGATTTGGAAGCTACTGGGCAAGCAGTGAAGTCTTACAGATAAAAGCAAGGTTTCTGTAATCTCAGTCTCTTTCAGTAGAAATCACACTCTTCTAAATGACTTTCCTGTTGTAGTTAAATATGAGGATGTTGTTCCTTGTAGTTTGAATAGGTTGTAAGACAGGAGTCTCTTAAATGTACGGCAACGTTTTTCATTAACAGTTTAATGCCAAAGCAAGTTTAATCTTTTCCGTGTTAACCAGCATTTGGGACTATCTCCACTTTATGAGTTAGTAAGCATGCCGAAAAGCTTCATTAATCCTGTTTTCCAAGGACCTCAGATGTAACTTGGTAAGTCAGGAATTACTCAGTGAGTCTGAGCTCTTCTAGGATATGAATGAAGGGTGTCTCACATACCTAAGTCTACAAAGAGAAGATGTGAACAGTCTTAAGCTGCAATACTCCTATATACTTTGTACATCTAAAAAGGTATGGTGTTACGTTGTAAGCCAGAGTCTGAGATATTCAAAGCACATTCTCTTGAGGGCTTTTAACACACTAATGCAAGGAGCTAAAGCAAAGTACAATTAAATGGGAAATTCATATTTTTTTCCTGTCTACCTTGTCCAAAAATCAAACGGTTAGTATTCTATTTTATTTTGTGCTAACAAGCAGCTCCTTCACAATATATAATTCTTTGGAATGAATTGAACTTGACATCACAAGCTTTTCATATTAAAAAGAATTTGAAGTTCACGGTACCAGAGAGAAAGAGGAGGGCTAGTAATTAGATTAGCTAACTAGGAATGGAGAAGTTTTGGATTCCAGTCCCTGCTCTTAAGGACTTTATTAATTTTATCCACTAACTATTTAAAATAAAATATAAAGCTGCTAATGGGAACAGAACTCACCTGCTCCTGACAGAGCATCCTGACCATTGAATGAGAGCTGCTTTCTGTTGGTCTGGGCCAGATTCTAACAGCATGGCTGTAGAGAGGACCCTTTCTTCCACGGTTTCTCACCCTTAATAGGTAACAGATTAGCTGACAAGGCACCGTGCCAAGCCATGAGTTTAAATCACCTTAGACTGAGAAGGGCAATTCTCTGTAGCCTGAGGAAATATTTTAATCACAGAATCACAGAATGGTTTAGGTTGGAAGAGACCTCTGGAGATCATCTAGTCTAACCTCCCTGCTCAAGCAAGGTCCTCTAGAGCATATTTCCCAGGATCACATCCAGATGGGTTTTGAATATCTCCAGCGAAGGAGACTCCACCACCTCTCTGGGCAACCTGTTCCAGTGCTCTGTCACCCTCACAGTGAAGAAGTTTTTCCTCAGGTTCAGATGGAACTTCTTGTGGTTCAGTTTCTGCCCGTTGCCTCTTGTCCTGTTGCTGGGCACCACGGAGAAGAGGCTGGCCCCATCCTCTTGACACTCCCCCTTCAGATACTTATACACGTTTCTGAGATCGCCTCTCAATCTTCTCTTCTCCAGGCTGAACAGGCCCAGCTCTTGCAGTCTTTCTTCATAGGAGAAGTGCTCCAGCCCTCTACTCATCTTGGTAGCCCTCCGCTGCACTCTCTCCAGTAGTGCCATGTCTCTCTTGTACTGGGGAGCCCAGAACTGGACACAGTAGTCCAGGTGAGGCCTCCCCAGGGCTGAGTAGGGGGCAGAATCACTTCCCTCCACCTGCTGGCAACACTCTGCCTAATGCACCCCAGGATCCCATTGGCCTTCTTGGCCACAAGGGCACATTGGTGGCTCACGCTTAACTTGTCCACCAGGTCTCCCAGGTCCTTCTCTGCAGAGCTGCTTTCCAGCAGGTCAACCCCCAGCCTGTACTGGTGCATGGGGTTATTCCTCCCTAGGTGCAGGACACTGCACTTGCCTTTGTTGAACTTCAGGAGGTTCCTCTCCGCCCAGCTCTCCAGCCTGTCCAGCTCCCTCTGAAGGGCAGCACAGTCTTCTGGTGTGTCAGCCACTCCCCCCAGTTTAGTGTCATCAGCAAACTTGCTGAGGGTGCACTCTGTCCCCTCCAGGTCACTGATGAATACATTGAACAAGACCGGACCCTGGACTGATCATTAGGATGTTCCATAAAACAGCCCTGGATGCTTAATGTTAGATGAAATCTGTAGTTTAATGTCTAAAACTCTTTGGTTTTGACATGCTCCAGCATTAATACAAATCACTAGTGGATTTCAGTATGAGCTAGATCAGACCTTCAGTAATTACATGCTTATTTTATTTGTGTAAATCAGTCACCAATCACAGAAAACAAGGCTGGAAGGAAACTGGAGGCACCTTCTAGCCCACTCACCAGATTCTTTCGTAATAATGAAATCAGTGCAAGTGACATATTGCCAAATACCATGGTATTATCAAACCTTCAGAAGGGTTCCATATGATTTTGTAGAGTGATGAGATTAAGGTCTGAAATGTATATATGGATATCTGCCACTATTGCTACAAACCCCATGCTCTGCACTTGATGGGTCTCGCTTCAGGGCCGAGACCTGTGCCTGCAGAGTTTAAGCCCACAATGGAGCCTTAACCCAACATGTCAAGACGGGTGGTAAGACCTTCTTCTCTACCCCCATCTTCCTAAGATACAAAACACTCTTACCCCAAAATAAGCTGTACATTCAGCCATTCCCCTCTCTAGACTCACAAACTTCCATTGACTCTGTGGCTGGTACTTGTGCTTTGCTCTTGTGCTTTGCTGGGAAAAATTAAAACTCTGACTGGTGGATGGTGGACACAACTTGCCTTTTGCTCAGTCCTCTCCCAATGATGGAGAATGAAGGAAATGCATGTAGCACTACCCCAGCACTAGGGAAGAAAAGACTTTGAAGGGATGGCACTGAGCAAGACACACGAATAGTATTGTGGATACTGCAGCAGTATCAGATCCTGCTAATATTGATATGATTTAGTATTACATGTATTTAAAATTATGATACTACCATAGTATTTTACCCATTACTATCTGATACTACCTGGTTCAAAGGCAGGGTCAACTGTAGATAAATCATTCTTGACAGAGAGTTGTCTAAACTGTTCCTAAAACCCACTGGTACTGGTGACACATCAGTGTCCTTAGGCAATTTTTAAAAGGTTTGCCACTAATTCTACCTAGCAATTTAAGTTCCGCAAGATTATTTCAGAGATTTAGCAGGACTTTTTTTCAATGACTCACAATGATTTTAAGAACTTCCATTTGAAAATCTGTTCAGCTTTACAACATAAATATTGTAGGTATTTTCTAAATATTGTGTATTATATATACATCAGATAAGACTGTAAAATTTCATCTTTCTGTAGCTAATGGATACTTTCATCAGCTGTCAAGAAATTTCAGAGAGACTGTTGAGCTGTAACTGCTTAAAAGGTTTATTGTGCAGTGGTTGTGGGTATTACAAATATAATTAGAGATAATAAAATATGATTACCTCAGATTATTTTGATTTTGGTTTATTTTTATACTGTCTTAAGCTATAAGAAGTTTTCAGAGAAATCTCAACAAGCCATTATTAAGTCAGGTAAAGTTATGAAGGGCCATGTAGTGAATTAGTGATGATTTAACCTTTACTGACTCAAAAGTGCCATTAAGAACTTGGAGGCACAAATGAAAACAGAAGTGATTGGAAAGACCGTGCTCTTTCACTTACCCTGAAGCAATGTTTATACACATCCACGTTATTTATCTCTTAACTTTGCACTGTGTGGGTCTTCTCAGTAGTTTCCTCCTCCTGTTCTCTGGAGGAATTGGCTTCTCAAAAAGAAATGTAACTGAATAAATAACTAAAAACTATTTAATGCTTTTTATTTTCAAAGAAAACGACATATCTTTTACCACTTCATACTAAATAAAAGTTTCATATTATGATGTTGGAAGGAACCCTTGTGATCATCTGTTCTAATTTGAAAGATGTGATCCATATGATTGCTGTGAATGAACTTCTTTATGAACTAGAGCTATCCTTTGGAAGAAAATTCCGGTTTGGTATTTATTCAAGCTTTAAGTTAAGCTCCAGTAGTAAAGCATTTAGTTCTTCAGTCATATGCACCTGAAACATATTCATGTTGAAATCATTTGTAAAGACTGCTGAGATTTCTCAGTACACCATGAATATTTATCGCCTCATCCATTAAAGCTGAAATTCTCTCCTAGGTCAGAATGAACTGAAGTGTTATGAATCGGACCTGGTACAAGAAGCAAATCTGAAGGCAGTTGTGTGTTTTTATGTATGTGTAAATAGATTCTTATAACATTTTAAAAATAGATTTTTCTGCCTGTTTTCTTGCATGGTTCCAATTAAATGAAGAGGAGGGGAGCTGGATTTTCAAATGGTGTTTTTACATTCAAGGATGATATCAGCAGTGAAGAGTCGCAGTATCCCTCTGCTTCAGGCTTGGCTACAAGTCCCAAAAGGAAATCAGAGAATGAAAGTGAATCAGCTTTGCGTAATGTGGAGAAGCAAAGAGGCATCTCCCCATCCCTGGCTAATGCTTTGGAGCACATAGTGGAGCAGCTGGATGTTTTAACTCTAGTAAGTATGCAATAATAGATAATACTCACTGTGGAGAATGATAATTCTGTCAATGGACAAAAAAATCCAGGAACTGTATTCATAAATGAGAATATTAAAGTCTATGGGGTTATTTTGAATGGTTAGATAGACAAGTGACTGTTTGGGGTTTTTTTTCCGTTCAGAAAATATTAATTTTATTGCATTCCTTGAAGTGAATGCTTCCTGCTTCATAATCGCAAAAATTACTGGTATGTTTTTAACTCTGGAGGGAAAAGGTTGGTATTTTTCAATAGGGAGATCTAGTGTAGATTTACCAGGAGCCAATCGTTGACTAGATATTGTCAGATTCCAGCTTGAACACTCATGCTTTAGCAGGGGATGAACAAGGTAAATTGGCAATGTAAAATTTAATCCTTTTTCAAACTTAGTACTGGAGGTGTTGGCTTAGGTAGGAATCTAAGCAGTGGAATAATTCTAAGTGTCAGTGAAACAGCACAAATATTAGGCTCAGTCAGTAACTCTGAGTCACTTCTTTGCAGGTTCTTAGTGCTTCTTTTTAGTAATGCAGGTTTAACCAATTTATATTTTAAGTTATGACTATGATCTGTAATACGTTAACATTAAACCAAATCAAAAGAGAGCGGCTAAGTTTTTTTCTACATTCTTTTGCAATGTATTGGTTTTCTCAAGAAATAAGTTTTGGTAAGAGTAGAGTAAAAGGCCATCACTTGAAAATTGTGTGTGTCGTAAATTAAATTTAAAAGAAACTATCAGCCTGTGTCCAGAAACCTACCTTTCTTAAAGGAGGGTTAGAGAAAGACTTTCAGTAGTATATTTTTCTAACATCATTTTTTCTGCATGTCTGAAAAGGTTGTTGGAAGACATCATTTGGGGTCTCCAGTGATGGCTATTTTTCTATTGAAATATAGTTGTAACTTTCACAATAGTATTTCTGAATAATTTATGTATACATATATGTATGTATACACACACACACACACACAGACATATATATATGTATAAATACACACACACACGCACACACATATGCACACACATACTTCTAGGGGAAATATTTTGTGAAAACAGTTTTAAACCTTTAGACAATCTCCACAGATACAAAGCCATTATTACTGAATATAGTACTAAGTAATGGAATAGCTGTGGCAAAGGCATTTTAGGATATTTTTTCTTGTTTAGTTTAAATAACTTTTTTTTTATTTTCTGTGTTGCATGCTTTGATAAATACTGTGTAAGTCATATAAAAACAAATTGAAGGTACTGTCCTCTTCATGCAGACTATTTCAATCCTGGAACAACGGCTCACTTTGACTGAAGATAAATTAAAAGAATGCTTAGAAAATCAGCAAAAAATGTTACCTCAGGGAAGACAGGGAGAATAAAAAACACAAATAATCTGTACTGATGAATATGTTTTCTCAAGGAAATAATAAATGTTGCTTCACTGTATTTGGCTATAAGCAAAAAATAATAATTTATTTTCTTATTTTAACAAGTCAGTTTAATAAAAGTGAAGAAAAAATACACAACACATTTTAAACATTGGTAGCAAGCAGATATTTTTGTTACATATTTAATAAAATGCAGCCCAGCCAAAACTAATAATTTCTCAAATCATTCCCATTGAAAGTTACAGGAGTGTTATTTCAACCTAAGATCTTTAAATACAACTAAGCAACGAACTATGCAATTTTAGATGGATAGTAATTATTATGGAAGTGCACTGTGCAGGTTTTTCAACCTAGAAAAGGGCTGTGAAAATGATGCTCTTTGTGCTAAGGCAATTTTACTCAAGCATCTAAATTAAATAAGACCTAATTACCACTAACTGCTAAAATGCCATGGGTTTTCTGTCTCTTACATTAGTATGTTTTACGAAAAAGTGATGACAGGTGCTCTTCATCTTCTAAATATTTCAGTGGTGATTATAAGATTTTTAAGTGTAAAAACTTTCAGTTCCAAATATAAAAATGAAGTCACTTAAACTTTGAAACAACAGTTGGATCTGTGAATTCAGCTGCAAGATTGGTGCATTATCTTATATTTCCATTCATTATGTAATCCATTAAAAATCATTCTTCATGTTTAGAAGAGCAAATTTACTTTCAGACTTCTGAAGAATGAGAAAACTAAACACAAAATAATATGAAGTCTGTATCCTAAGTACGAAAGATTCTCATCCTCCAAGGACTTGCAGAGGTGCTCAGACTTTGCATGCTATGAATGGCCTCCCCAGAAATCAGTTAACACTGTATAAATTAAGCCATAAATCAGTAAAGACCTTTTGTGAGTCAGTTTGCAATGTATGATGAATTTTGTTTCTATTTCTAATAAAGATATGATTTTTAGAAAGACGTAGAATTGCTGGTATTATTCTTTAATAGAGAACATCTTTCCTTCTTTACGTGGCCATACTATTTTTTAAATGGCAATTGTAGAACACCTCTTGTAAATCCACAGTCAAAACTAAACCATGTTCCCTTTCTGCAGCGTCGTATTTTGTATGTTGAAAAATAAGACAATTGAAATGAGCGTTTTAATCCAGCTCTGCAACTGACTGTACATAGCTAAAGCCCATTTGCTAGACTGAACCTCATTAAAGTCAATAGAATTCAGCTTAAGCACAGAATCTCACTGTGCAAATATTAGTGCAGTTGGAGCCAAAGCAATGAGCAGTAGATTTTTTTAAAACTTTTCATTCTCTTCATAATAATCACTTTTGGATGTCCAGGCATCACCTCAGTTGATTTGTAAACTCTGAATTTTGCCAACGCTTACTACATAATTTCAATTCACTCTTAAGTAGTACTTAAGTAGTATTACTAGTATTGCGAAGAAATAACCTCTTCTTAAAAATTTTTGAGTGCAGCTATTTCTGTGCAACATCCTAGCCACGGAATTTTTGTGAAATTATGGTCTTAAATATTCCAATATATATAGCCTGACCTTTGATTATGCAGTTAGTTATAATGCTATATAATACATAGTTATTAAGTACTGTCTTTTAGATCAGATATGCTTTTCTTTTTGAATTTGTAAATACTTCAGTGATCTTTCATGGTTTCATTAGAAGACAAAAAATGTAACCATTAAAAACTCATGCATGTTTCTTGTTTCCTCTTAATATTTTCTTCCGTTTCTTTTAATTATATGTATATTCTTTTATTTGATTAGGCTTTTCGGGATTATCTATCAACAAGATTTGACAACATTTTTTACTTCTGCATTTTTTTAGTAAACTCCATGCTGAAATTTTCCTTTCTGCCCTAGCTCCTATCACTAATCCTTCTTCCTATTTAGTACATGTTTATTTGGAGCATTTGTTACTTAATCCAGTTTATTCTTCTGTTGTTTATGAATCTGGTGAAATAGCATAACATTTCCAAATGAAGATATGTTCCTATCTTTCTGTCAGGTAGTCTGTTGATTTTGAAATCCTCAACATGCTTGGCATGTAGCATATTTGCATTATGAGAGTTGGTTGTTAGAGCAAAGGATGGAGGTATTTCCTCAAGGTGCAACTGCTCTCCTAAAATGCAGCTACCACCTAGCACAGTATTCCTTTTGAAGAAAATTTGTTGGGGACTAATTATCTCATTCTGTTGATCCGTATAATTTCAAGTAGAGCCACTGAATATAAAAATTTACCTTAAAAAGAGTTGAAGAGGCTGCTTAAACTCTTCATAAGTAAATATTCTCAGTATTTACTGTAGGGTTTGCACTCTGGCTAATATTTGATGACTTGACCCATTTGAATTATCTTTTAGAGATAAATGAACATGAATGCAGTTCAACTTTAGTTGTGCTTCTGAAGTATTTGAAAAAATAATTGCAGAGATCTTTAAATGATTACAAAAGGTATATCTATATTGCAGACTGCAATGAAATTCTGAAATTCCATACTCACTCTAAGAGCTAAACCGTGTACCTGATGCAGTCCAGCATTCCTCAGGCTAATTTATTCTTCTATAAATAAGACATCCTGC